CCCCCCCCCACATGCACAAACTTTTGTGCACCAGGCCTCTAGTTTAATAATAAAATGTAACTCCCTCTCTCTAAGCGTAGCTTGGTTTTTCTCCAGTCTTCTGCAACAGTCCCAGCTGGCGGGGCTTAGAGTGGGCACAGGGGAGCTCTTCCCCAGTGAATGGGGTTAGAGAGAAGCCTGCGGCACTGAGGTCACATGTGTGACTCCGGAAGACAGCTGGTGGGAGAAGGCTGCTGTTCCCCAGGTACCAGAGAACCTGAGAGTCACATGGGCACAGTCAGCCAGGCACCCTTACCTCCCAAAGCATGGACACCTCTTCCCTCTTTTGCAGCCCCACCCCTACCCCACTCCTCCTGAGTCGGCTCCCTATTGAGTCAGTCACATCTTTCTTCTCCAAGGACTCTGCCTACAGATGAATGGGGAGATACTAGCCCTTGGCATTTCTTATTCCTCCAGTGCAGGATGGGAGCTAGGCCCAGGGTGAGGGGGTGGTTAGGCGCGGGAGGCAGCAGGGCCTCAGGGGAGCTTCTCCTGTGGGCTGATTTCACTGTGAGCTCTCACTCCCAGCAACACCAATAAAAATGATGATAATAATTAAGTATAATCACAATATGTTTTTATTGATTTATTCCCAAGTAGCCTACTTTCCCCGGCCCCCATCATTACCTATTTCATCCTTTTGAGAGGGTGGTGGGCGTTAAATGTGGCTCTAATAAAAAGTAATAGCTGCCCATTGCCCGCCCCCGCAGCGCAGCCCCGAGGCAGAGGGGACAGCAGTGTGGGAGGCAAAGGGGACCGCAGTTGGGAGGGTGCTGTGCGGAGGGGGAGGAGGCACTAGGCAGGAGAGGCACAGCGAGCGTAACCCCGTGTGGAAAGTCGTAGAAGCAGCGGAGTTTGCCTTCTCTTTTGAGCCTTTCACCTTCTTCCGGGTCTACACCTCCTCCCAGAGCAGCGTGGGGTCTTCATTCCCGGTCCCCTCCCAACGCCTCTGCATGAGACTGACCAAGCCAAGCATTTATCCACCTGCCGTCAGAGGATGGCTGCTGTTGTTTTAAAAAAGGATCTTCGTAAACATCAGACCCTACACACAAAAATGCACTACAAAATGGCAATCGGTGACATTATTAAGCTCTCGGGGATCTTTGTATTCTGGGATCAGAGGAATAGGTGGAATTTCGAACTTCTGGCGAAGGCACGGGGTCTGGGGACTCCGCCCGGAATCCCTGGCCGCCAGCCTGCCCCGCGCGGGGCTCCCCCAGCCCGCCCTTCCCGGGGAGGCGGTGGGGGTGACGAGTCCCTGGGGTCCCCTCTGCCGTTTCCTCCCCACTTTCCCTCTAGTCTCTGAGCTCTTGTCCCAGGGAAGTAAGGCCTCCTTCCAGCTGGTGCCTGCACCCACCTCGAGCCCATTCGCGTTTTAGGGAGGGAAGACGAGGCCAAAGGGGAGC